AAGCCTCGGCCGCTGCCGCGAACGTCAAACCCACTGGAGGCAGCACGATACCATCCATGTTGTTAGGCCTGAAGCCTGGACAGCGGCGATGGAGACAAATCGGTGTAGCCTCAGCGATCGGCCGTCGCATGTTTTCGTGACTGTTTTGGCAATGCCGCTGTGTCCCTTCGGCCGGACGGATGCAGTATTGGTTTTGGGGAAAGGGACGAGGTCCGTTCGGTGACAGGCCCCAAATGTGATAGTAAATTTATCAAACTGGAGCAAAGCTAGTCCAAGTTAGGTAGTAATGTGGTTTCAACAAACTTTATCAAAAAGATAGTGCAAAGTTAGGCGCTGGGAAGACACATGGAGCGCTGCCCCTCCCCCCCCCCCCCCCTCCTCCCGCTGGATTGGCCCCTGCCCTCTAGCCATGCGGCACCGTGATCGAGCGGTATCGCCGAGCGACTGCAGTGACGAGGACCGTTGAGATGTTCCGTTGCGTAGAGGCCGGCACGAGACGACTCTGTCCTGGCGGCTGGACGAGTCTGCCCCGGTGGTGGGGTGACTCTCCCCGCCAGTAGACGACGGTGCCCCGCCAGTAGACGACCCTGTCCGGCGGTGGGATGACCCTGCCCTGGTGGTGGGACGGCTGCCCGGCGATGGGACGACCCTGCCCGGTGACGGGATGACTCTCCCCCGGTGGTGGGACTACCCTGCCCCGGCGGTGGGACGACCCAGCCCCGGTGGTGGGACGGCCCTCCCCCGGTGGTGAGACGACTCTGCCTCGGCGGTGGGCGACTCTGCCCCGGTGGTGGGACGACCCTGCCACGGCGGTGGGACGACCCTGCCACGGCGGTGGGACGACTCTGCCCCGGCGCCCAGGTGACCGGCACGCCGTCCAGTTGTTGTTTTTTCGGGCACCGACAGTCGATTGCCTCCGGCCAAGCTGTGCTAAGTATTCAAGACGCAGGCCAGTAAAAGAATCTTTCGCCCTGAACGCTTTCTTTGTTCCGCGCTCTCATGCGTCCGCACTGTCCACTTGCGCTTGCCAGATGGGAGGGAGGGGTCCGCATTGTGTGAACATCACTCGCGCGGCTCGAGCACCGCGGCACGCAACGTGAATGAAGGAACAAAAGAGCTGTGCTGGGCACGGAGCGGCCGTCCACCTGACATACGGCAGTCCGAATGGCTGGGCGAACCACTTCTCGGGAACTTTATCTCGATGCCTGGTCAAAATGAACGTAGAAAGAGTGAGGAATCGTTAGAAAGGTGTCCGGCTACTGCTTTTAAGATACAAGCGCCACTGGTTTTGTAGCTGCCAGCCATTGGTTGTCGAAGTTAACCATGAAACCACTACGTGACACTCAATACTTTGAAATGGCTTATCGGAATAAGTATTCGGTTAAATTTTTGCACGGCCTAGCGCAGCTAAGTACAAATCCATGTGTATAGCCACTAGTCAAGCTGGAGATACCGAAATCTGCAAGATTGATAACCCTAGGACTGGATGAATTCCTACTGTGAAACATTGGAAAAGCCAATGTAGGTGAGCTATTTTTCCATCAGCTATAAAAGTGGTCGGCCATCTGTTCGAATCAGTGCTGATAGACATGGTTCTCGCTGAGAACTATAGTTACGTAATTACCCTGAATTCGCTCATAGATCGATTATGGTGTGACAGTAGAACAATCCGATCTAGTTCGTCTTCCTTACACACCATGACAGCCTAATGACGGTAATGACTTTGTAAAACATTTAAAGGGCTAGGAAACTATAAATGCGTATGTTGATAAATATTTGGGGCGATATGGAGGCACACTCACACGCATTTTTTTATGACGTTTACAAAAAAGCAGTGCCGAAAGCACATTTACAGGATTGATCATATCTAAGCAGGCAGTGTGCGTTGTTTTTCCAGTAATGCATTTTGCTTCCAGCAACAGCGCATGACATACCATCTCACAGTCCAAGAAAAGTCAAGTCAGGACACGTCAGTTTTTCAGAAATATTCATTGAGGTGACACATTCAAAGGGACATGGTTAAAGAAACAGCGACGACACAAAACGATACGTCATCAGAACTGGTTGTGCTGAATATGTGTATTTCTGTAGTCAGCTGGGCAGTAGGTATGGTCGACTATTACCTCAGGTGCGTCACGGACAGCAGCTGGAAGTGTTACGGTGATGCTCGAACTCGGGCGGCCAGCTGCGTTTCAGCTCGTCGCCGATGATCTCCCGGACAGAGATGGACGGATGTTTTGGTCAGGCTTACTGATGTCCATGAAATTAACACCTCGACTCCGTCAACAACTGGCTCTCAAGAACGCGGTCATATAACAACGTTCTCTCCCCTCCAATCACGGACCGCTAACCATCATTGGCAGGTGCACTGCTGGACACGACGCGGCACGGACGCCTGTCGCACTTCCGCTGCAGGCCGCGGCGGAAGTGCGACGAGCGCGACGCGCCTGCTCTGCTCGCGGGCGCGTCGCGCCCCGCTCGGTGCGGCTCGGGGCCCGGCAGCCGCCGCCGGCCGGCCGCCCGTCTCGAGTAACAGGAACACGGCCGGCAGATGCGCTATATGGGAAGCGGGCGCGTCGGCGCGGAACGTCGTGCGCCGCCGTTCCCGGGGCAGCGGCCGGCGCTGCTCCGGAAACAGCCGGGCAGGTCCGGCCGGCGCCGCTCCGGCAGGCCGAGAGGGTCCGGCGCGGCCCGGCCCGGCCTGGCGCCGCTGACCTTCGCCCAGCCTCCTCCGCGGCAGGGCTGTTGTTCCGCGCGGCGCGGCGCGGCGCGGGGGCGGACGGCCGGGCGCGGACGGGGGCCGTCCTCGCGCTATGCCGTCCTCCGCCGTGAAGCTCCGCGCTGACGGTTGAGTGTGTGCGGACGCCGCACGCGGTATGCCGAGCGTGGAGCTGCGTCGGAGGGCAGGAGGGGGAACATCGGCGTGTCGCATACTCAGCGCCTTTCCCGCCGGATGGAGGGGGTTTGGACCAGGCTCCGCGTCACCGGCCAACCGCGGATATCGCGGTATCAAAATCCCATCGTGCAAGAGAACATTCGCTGTGAAAACGAAGGCCGGTTTGGGAATGGGTTTCATGGCTCTCGTTGACGCTTTGCCTCGGTTTAACGCTCTGGTGGAGTGGTTTTACGAGGAGGCAGTTCAGAATTGCGTATCATTGGCGCCATGACCCCTTCAACGGGTTTGGTTGTATATCCATTCACCGCATGTACGAGCAAACGCTGGTTAATGGCTTACTGGGGCTCTTCTGTCACCTGGGAGCTGTATTTTTTACCTGGCTTTAGATGATTTGTAATGATGCTTCAAGCAATCGCCGTCATCTGCACGCTCTCAAATCAGTCCATAAGAAAGCGAGCAATGACAACGAACACCGTTGTCCTTGGTGAACCAGATGACGTGGCGGTGGTAATCCAGCCCGACTAGAGTGCTGTTGTATCTGGGCAGATAAGCTGGCTGGTACCGTTAAGAAACCACCAGCCCCATTCTGGTTCTGGAAATGGTCAACAGAGCCTGTTAAATTCACAAGCCCGGTGAGGTCAGCACCGATCACGGCCATTCAGATTATGCTTCCCCTACGTCGCGTAGGAAATGCTTTTCTGCGTGATGATAAAAAATTTGTCTTGTCTTGAAAATTGATGGTTCTTCAGGGTTTCATCATCTTTGTTATAGAAAAGTTGTCGACCTGCTGGTGGGAAAATGCCGAAGTCTAACTGGGGACAGGGCCATCCGGTCATTAGGTTTCGCAGTGAAGGACAGCCATTGTCCGAAGCTCTTCGAGCATAGCGCAGATATGGCTGTGTGGCTCCAGAGGGAATGAGAGAGCAGATGCGTGAGAGCAGATGCTTGTCCTAATTATCTGACCTGATGAGACTGCGCCCTTTTTGATTAGACGCGGTGCGCGCGAATCACCCCATTGCCGGCGGGTCAGTAAACACGCAGCGCGCGCCATCCGCTACAAAGGCCGTTCATGTTTGTGTAACCTCAGTCCCTGAGAGCGGGCCCTCTCTCCCAATCGCTCGGGTCCGGCGCCATCATCTGATGGCCTTGAACGCTGCAGAGCGGTCGTGCCATTACTGGCGTTTGGGACATAGGCGCATGGCGTTCTGAAGTGATCCTTCCCCGTTATGCGAGCGTGCTGTTGGCGCCGAACGCCACTCAAGATGCACCTCCGCCAATCCACAAATATGATGCTATGCTGGCAGTGATATGAGGTTTTGGGCTCTTACAAGTACTCAGTGATAAGGAGCGAGTACGACATTTGATTAGGACTTTTGATGCGTGTGTTTTGTAAATCCGACGGCCAGAGGTGCAGCCAATGTGTATCCAGCCCCCTCCCCCTCTCCAGATGGCTCGTAACAGAAAGTTCAGAATTGGGGGACACGTTCTCGTGAAGTCCCCCTCCCCTCCCCTACTACGAAAATCCTGGCCATACCCCTGCAGACCGTTCAATGTTATTCCCACTACCTGCTGCTTCAAACCTTGGATATAGCGCAGTACAACCAACCATGGGGAATGTGCGAGTGTCAACTATTTTGCATTTGCCCTGAGAAGGTTGAACACTGCTTGGCTTGTTTCGTTACATTTACCATAGGATCACACCAAAATACCTAGCTCGCGCCACGTGTCTTTTTCAGAATTTAATGCATGTCAGCCCTGATGGCTTTCATAGCCAGGCACGACACTCAGCGAGGTTTGTGCGAGGTGGGTGAAGCCTGGCCAAACAGTGCCGCTCTGAATAGAGAATGACTTCTATAGAACGGGTGGTCTGAACTGTGTCACAAGGCTCCGCCCGTGCAGTGGCACCTCAGGTCGACTCGTGTCTGAACCTGTGCGACTCTGCTCTGGCTGCAGAGGGGCGGGGCACATCACTCAGGTCAGCAGATCAGATGCCCCACGTCTTCATCTGCCGGTGTAACAGCGGTATCCGCGTGACTTGTCCGCGAATCGCCACGCGGGCGACTGCGCGCCCTGGCTGACCCCTGACGGCCGCGGCCCGTTGCAGTTGGCTTCAGGACGGACTGTGAGCGGGACATGATGTACACCGTGGTCGACGTCACGCCCGACATGGAGCGACTCTATCTCCACAGACTGAAGAACTTCCCCGGTAAGCCAGCCTTTCGAGATCAGCGCAATGCCGGTATGATTTGGCCAGTGAAACTGGTCTCGTCACTTCACATGAGCTTTCTTGAACGGATTTATGCCGTGAGCTAGCTAAGTGTCTGAAAGATGGAGGAGGGAGCTTCGTTGGCGTTTGGGCGAAAAATATTCAGAATTTTAATCATGGTTTCTAGGCCGAATGCAAAGCTTATATTCGAACATGCCCGCAGTTGCTTATATTTTTGCTTAGCTTGCGCTGAAATATACAAATTATGTTTCTCTGGGACACATCCTGAACCACCGCGTTTCTGGAAGAAGCGGCAAAAAAACAAGCATCCATAAATTTCAGATCCTGCGCAACAGAATGCATGGAGTTGGACACCTCGAAATTGCTCGTGCTTTGTTCGAGTTAAGTTTTAATTATTTCACCAACCTACACATAATCATGTATAAATGATCAGATGAACCACTCAAACGCGTCTCTCGTGGGTTTTGCCAGCTGTTTGTTTTAATCCGCTGGCTGCGGCTGGTCCAGATCGGAGCACGTCCGTGTCCTGTGTTCAGGATATATTGCCCAGATCGGAGCACGTCCGTACCCTGTGTTCGGGATATATTGCCCAGGTCGGAGCACGTCCGTACCCTGTGTTCGGGATATATTGCTCAAATCGGAGCACGTCCGTGTCCTGTGTTTGGGATATATTGCCCAGATCGGAGCACGTCCGTACCCTGTGTTCGGGATATATTGCTCAAATCGGAGCACGTCCGTGTCCTGTGTTCGGGATATATTGCCCAGGTCGGAGCACGTCCGTACCCTGTGTTGGAATATATTGCCCAGATCGGAGCACGTCCGTGTCCTGTATTTGGGATATATTGCCCAGATCGGAGCACGTCCGTGTACTGTGTTCGAGATATATTGCCCAGATCGGAGCACGTCCGTGTCCTGTGTTCGGGATATATTGCCCAGATCGGGGCAAGTCCGTGTCCCGTGTTCGGGATATATTGGTATTGCAGATGACTTCATGACAACTCGCGAAGAAGGCTGCTCGTTGAACATTATGGCGTTCGACGCGCATAACGCTTTACATACGCTTCGTTTTAGGCTGCCAACCAGTCCTCAGGAACAACAAGGCCATATTTCACATCAACCTAGCGGACGTTGACGACTTCAGTACATGCGGCGTCACCAAAATGGTGAACAAGAATACGGTAGGTTGTTCATTATTTGATTTATGTTATGGGCTCTTGTCACGGGAGGGCTGATTCCCACACGGCGTGTCGACGCTCGTGTCTTCTGGCTAGGGACATGGAGACATCGAGAAGTGTCACGTCACGATCTCACAGAGGTCTGACATGCGTGGGAAGAAGTCAAGGATTTTTGGTTTGTCTTTTGGTGACTTTTGTAAGTTCTTATTTAACAAATATAACACGTGCGCACGGAAAAATCACTGGGTGAGGTCATTTTAAGAGATAGTTGCCAAAGTAGAGATCTTTATGGTTTGAATTTGTAGGGGTCAGTATGGTGCAATGCACCAGTGTTAATTCACCTGCCTATCCGAGTTTGGATGTGTGCTATGTCGGATCCGACTGATTATTCGCAGCAGAAATATTGTCCGGGCCATTCTTATTACATTATCCTTCAGCCAGGTTCTACACAAAATATTGTCTGTTTTAGCTGCGCGCAAGGCTGATTAGATGAACTGGAATTGAATCGTTTGAGCCATCTGTGATGGCCGAAACACTGTCTTAATCCTCGCCGTCCTTGAAGCTTTCCCGATAAGTCCAGTCCAGTCCAGGCCATGTGCACCCATGGATCTGTCTAACTCTGAAGGGCGCTGATTCAGATGGATCAGAAACGCTTACGTCATCTCACCCCCTGCTGCTAATTCATCCGGGCCAGCGCGGAACCCAGACACACGGACCTGATCCATCACCTTCTCTGCCTCTCCATATGTCGGCATGCACAGGCCCCGCGCGTCCCGGGGCACAGGCAGGCCGCCGTTTTGGTGTTACGTTCGCATGGCTACATGCTGTCTTCGTTCATGCGGGACAGCGTGTAATCGACGTTTCTAAAGCGTGTCGGAGATAGCCTCTCAGCGTGAGTTACAGTCTCTGGGGCACTCGCTCCCTAGCGATGCCACCGGTTGGGCGAGAAGCAGGACGGTGCAGCATGCTTCGCAAGACACCATGCGATCATGTTCCATCGCGATCCACTAATTATGTGTGGTGCTTCGCCTGTAAATAGCATTTCAGGAGAGGAAAAACCGTTCCAATAATGTATGCATTGTGGTCACATGGTAATGTTATTACCACTGTCATTGGGACTTTACAACGCACTCAGCTGCTGAGGCTTTATGGCATCGCCTGCCTCTGACCCTGCCAGGAAGGGCGGGCATCGTGGGGAATCGAACCCCGCACCCCTGGTTAATGTGGTAATGTAACAGAGGCTCCTGGCAATGGTCACTCTTGTCCGCGGCTGTCACAGCGCGTGCAGCGCTTAGTCGGAGCCTTGCACGGCTTTGTGCTTCGTGTCATTATTACAGCTTGGGCGTGATGTCACACGTGTGTACTCGAAGTGTGGTCTTTCCACGGCGTGCCGCTGAATTCTGCCTATACGCCTGCACGTTTAATCTTCACAGGGGAAGAAGATCTTTTACCATCACGTGGTGGTGGAGTATCCGGTGCGCATCAAGGACTCGTTCCGTATCGAGTGTTCTTACACCAGCAACGGCACCGCGGAGGAGGTCAACATCGTCAAGAGGTCGGCGCAGAACGACCCTTGGCCTAGTGGCTTCCAGGAGCCAGAGTGAGTCTCCTCGCCGGTACAGCCGGAATCAGTTACGCTAGGCAGCCGGAGTGGCTTCGGCTACAACTGCGTGACGGCGAAAGGTTCTGACGCAACAGCAACTTACGAACGAGTCTTGAAAGCGGTCGGTTTCTCTGTTTCCGCGGGTGTGTAATACAACTGTGCATCTAATTTGTGCAAGCTGACATCCATGTTGCCTGCGCGAACAGATACCTTTCCGGTCCTTTGCCGTACATTCATCTTTGTTTTATTTTGTGGCCGTTTGCGTAGTGTAATGAGCTCAGTAAAAGCTGGAGCGGAACAGCCTTAGGCATTGTCCTTGGTATCCGTAAACCATGCGGTATGCATTGCAGCCTACCACCGTTAAGAAGGCTGCTGTGCTGTTTGCCGTGGTGGAGGCCGAGTTCCTTGACTCGCAGCCTTCCATTTCCGCCATCACAATTGTCCATTGAAGTGGAGGTCAGGGGTGCTGACCTCCTCTGACCTCTCTGAATTCATCAGCAGCGGGCCCGCTAAACAGCACGCGACAGACATGAGAAGTGAACGGATATCTACCCGCCCAATCTAGAGGCCCGGTGTTTGTGTCGGAAAACTGGGGTTGTTTTTAATCACCTGCGAATATGATGTAGTCCCCTCTCTCTCTCATTGGGTAAATCTGCGCAACATCTCGCCATGGAACGTCGTGTTTTTTTTTTTTGGCCTGGCAAAGCTGGGAAAATTCAAACCAGTTTCCGTTCATCAGTGTATTGGTTGATTTTTATCAGTTGCATTACTACGACACTAGCACATAATGTCAGGAATTTTCCTACCTTGTAAATTAATCTTGGTATGTCCATGCGCATGGCGCCTTTAGCCCATGCATGTCCTCTAAGACATTACAACGCTGCATTTTATTGTTTCCCATCTATCTGTACCGCTGATAACGGTGTACATTGGTTGCCCCTCCCATCCGTCGTCCTGCCCCTTAAATTCGATCTGTCTTTGGGTGGATCCGGGAGATGACATCTCTTGTCACCACCAGATCTTACATGACATATTAACAGGATCGCCAGCATGTCATCTGGCTGAGCGGCAGGATCCTGGAGATCATGACCCTGCGGCGCGTGTTGTCTCGCTGCGCGGCAGGATCCTGGAGATCACGACCCTGCGGCGCGTGTTGTCTCGCTGCGCGGCAGGATCCTGGAGATCACGACCCTGCGGCGCGTGTTGTCTCGCTGCGCGGCAGGATCCTGGAGATCACGTCCCCTCTGACGCGTGTTGTCTCGTTGCGCGGCAGAATCCTGGAGATCACGTCCCTTTGACGCGTGTTGTCTCGCTGCGCGGCAAGATGTTGGAGATCACGTCCCCTCTGACGCGTGTTGTCTCCCTGCGCTGCAGGATCCTGGAGATCACGTCGGAGATCACGGCGACGGCGCCGACGCCTGAGCTGACGGTGACGGTGCGCCAGGACGGCCAGGTGGTGGACACGTCACTCAACGTGCGGCCCGGCGCGCCGCTCGACATGCAGATCGGCCTGGACAATGCCTCGGCCGGCACCTACGGCATCATCGTCAGCGACATGATCGTCAGCGACACGAAGAAGCAGGAGGAGCTGCTGCTCACTAATGGGTCAGCTGCCGGCGCTCGCTGCGGCGGCCCGATGGGAGAAAGGGTTGCTGAGGTGCACGTTTGGGGGGAGAGGGTCGCTGCGGTGCACGTTGGGGGGAGGGTCGCTGAGGTGCATACTGGGGGGAGGGTCGCTCTTGTTCTAGTAATTCGCTGCTGAACGGTGATTTCGTTGTCATTTTAGATGAAGTCAAGCTGTTTCTCATTTGTTTTCAGATGCAATCATGTCTTTGCGCCAAAGGTGAAATGAGATCGTAAAAACTGTTCACATCGTAACAGGAATTTTCATGAAGGTAGCCTGCAAATAATGATAAGCGCTAAGGAGGGTAGATTTCTGAGTCCTGCCGAGTATTTGATACACCTGGGCTTGTCAAACCAAAGGACGCATCAGCTGTACTCAGCTGTACTGTAAGACGCGATAAACGGCGACGGCTGCGAAGGATTTCGCTTTCTGACCGCTGCTTTGGTGAGTTTCAGGTGCTCTGTGGATCCGTATCTGTTCGGGAATTTCGGCACAACCAACGGTGACACATTGAAGGCGAAATTCCGCGCTTTCAAGTTCCCTGAAACCAACTTCGTGCTGTTCAAGGGGATTCTGAATGTCTGTATCGACAGCTGCGAAGGAGTGAGTATGTTCTGCGACTCGCTCTTATATGTAAACGCAAGCCTATTCGCAACATGGAACATGAGGTATTCAGTGGCCTCTTGCCCAACCGGGCAGTAAATCCTTCGTCTTGTTTTACTGACTGCGGGGTAAGTTGGGAAACGCTGGGTATGCGTGTAATGCGACACACTTGTGACATATTAACTCGTTTATCGGGCTTGAAGGATCTCTTTCCACTGGAAGCGTGTCTCATGTTCCCGGGGCACATGCTGAAAATCGCTTCACAAAACGCGGTCATATCAGAGCTGTTCTATGCTGTCAAGTGAGATAGCAAGTCCAGTTTCTCTGGGAAGTGGGTGTTGATGTCCAGTGAAAAGTGATCGTTTACTTCTGGTGACCTGTCGGACGCGTAAACGTTGGCACAAATGTTGGACGCATGGGATTTTATGTTGAGTATTTTCTTAGCGTCATTTCTTAACGATATATCAAGTTCATTTTAATGTCATTTCAATCATTTGTCGGAAGATGTCCTCATAATTGGCGCAATACTGCAACGGAAGATCCTCACGGTGATATAGTGTGAATGATCGCCAGTATAACAAACAGCATAAAAGCGTGGAAATTTTACGGGCCGGGCATACATCAAAAACACAAAGCAGCCGACATGCTGGGCCATGTTTTTGTGCTAGCGCTTTGTCTAGCCCATTCGTGTCATACACGGATGACTTTTTGGGTCGCCTTCCCTTGGTGGTTCGTGCCAGCTTGTCGAGGTCTGGTTCAGTTTGCCCACGCCTGCTTTGCACTGCCAGGCATAGGGTATGCAGTGGGCAGTGAATCATGGTGAAAGGTTACATTGCATTCGCAATAGAGTGACGGGTTATAAGGTTCTTAAAAGTCCTGCGCTGCGGGAGGGCCGGCGTTCGTTCTACAGGACGGACGTTACGACTTCTGTTAGCGTCCACCCTCTTCAGCTGTGATATCTATTATTTCCAAACTGCGCGATGCGGGCCTCCTCAAACGTCGGCTGTCACCCATTATACGTGTGCTGGCGCCAGCGTGCGGGGCCGAGCTCATTGCCGGGGCGTCGTCGGCCGCGCGCCTGGCTGCTCAGCGGTCGGCGGGGAGGGGGCAGGGCGGGGGAGCTGGCGCGGCAGCTCGACCTTGGCCGAGCCGGGTCGGCAGGCACGGCGAACGGCACAGGGCCGCGTCAGCCCTCGCGTGTCGGCGGTGGGCGGCCGGTGGGCGGCGCGCGCTGCCTTATGGAGCCGGCAGACGGCCCACGGCCTGGTGGAGGCCGGCCGAGCCCCAGGCCGGCGGTCAGCGGCCGGGCGGCGCCGCCAGCCGGGCTAGGGCCGCCCCAGCCGGCACACCGCCCACGGCTGCTGCACTGAGCTGCAGCCGGATATAGCGGTCTCCGAATGAGGCCGGGTCTGCTGCTTTGGTCGGGGCAGCACCCAGTTTTGTCCAGGTCGTGGCAAAGTTCTCCGGGGCCTTGTCTGCAGATAAAGTGTTTTGACAATGTTCAAAAAGTTGTAAGGCAGAAAGCCTGAAGTAGCGGCGCTCAGAACGCTGCAGATGGTTACTGTCGAAGGCTTTCTGCGAATGTGTCTTGACACGCGTCCGGAGAAGGAGTGTAAGTACACCGTTTTCGGCCATTTCCTGTGTGATCAGTCAAGGTGCAGCGTCAGGGGGTCAGGAGGTCAGGGTGAAGCGTGAAGGGTCAGGGGGCTCTGCCTGCATGTATTGACCTAGGCTGCCCAAAAACTGCGCTTGCTCTCCGGATTTGCGGCGTTGTTTTTGCCAGTTCGAGGAAACCGAGAGATGTGTGCCTAACGCCACTCTGTGTATCCGCCAGGTGCAGTGCAGTAACGGTGAGGTGGGGTACGGTCGGCGGCGGCGGCGCGCGCTCTCCTCCAGTGGCGACCCGAACCAAGTGTTCCAGGTCACCATGAGCACCATCCTCAGCGTCCAGTTTGAGGATGAGGAGACGCGAGTCAAGGCCGGTCAGTTGGCATTCGCTGCTGGGATTGGCTGAAGTGCTTAGAAAAGAGCCGGGAGAGAACACAAATGTCATAATGTAACTCTCAATCGTATACTATCTTGCACTTTTACGTGGCATGACCAGAGCTTTCCAAACGTTTACCGTACAATGGCTTCACAACGTGCCATAAGCCAGCAGGATATCCTGCCAGACGATATGTACAGTTTTGCGTATGCAAGTGGACAACGGCGATGTTGGCGAAGGTTCCGCCTCTGCTCAATGGCATCACTGGCTCTATGTTTGCTGTCGAACCCCCGCATATTTTTCCGTCAGCCTTCCATTGAAATCTTTCCCGTCAGCCGTCGGAGCACCGCCGGCTGCCATCATAGCCCCGCCTGTTTTCTATCCCCGCCGCCGGAATCCCGCCCGTCTGCCGCTGGAGTCCCGTACCCGTCTGCCGACGGAGTCCCGTCCGGTCTGCCGCCAGAGTCCCGTCCCGTCTGTCGCCGGAGTCCCGCTCCGCCTGCCCGCCAGAGTCCCGTCCCGTCCGCCGCCGGAGTCCCACCCCGTCTGCCGACGGAGTCCCACCCCGTCTGCCGCCGGAGTCCCGTCCCCGTCTGCCGAAGGAGTCCCGTCCCCGTCTGCCGACGGAGTCCCGCCTCGTCTGCCGCCGGAATCCCGCCCGTCTGCCGCTGGAGTCCCGTCCCCGTCTGCCGACGGAGTCCCGTCCCCGTCTGCCGACGGAGTCCCGCCCCGTCTGCCGCCGGAGTCCCGCCCCGGTCGTGCCGCCACGGAACCCGGCGTGACCTCTGTATGCAGTGCGTATCTCGGCCCGCAGGTTTCATTAGTGGTCGCGAGGAGGAGCCGTTCGCCGTCGGCTACGTCAACCGGGTGCCGCAGTTCGCCGGCGCTCTGACGCGCCGAGATGGCGCCACCATCGACCAGCCTGGCCCGTTGGCCAGCTCGTCTGCTGTAGTCGCCGCGTCCGCCACGGCGCTGGTGGTGGCGCTGCTCGTCGCCGTCTAGCCGGCGCAAGCTGACGCGTTTAGGAACGATGGTGGCAGCAGCCGGCTGTGGTGTGGTCCGGCATATCGCATATATGTGTCCCAGGCAGTGGGGGTCATCTGTCACAGCCGTTTTGCCGTCTGCACACTTCATGAAACATTGAGCCAGCCAGTTTCATAAAGCAAAAGTTACGAATCTACGCACTTGTGAGTTGCGTCGTATGAGCTCATAGACCAAAAACAAGATAGTTCAACCGACAGGCTCATTTCATGACACGACCATAGGAAATGACCTGTTTGTTTCCGATCGTCTGTTTACACGACGCAATTTAGAAATGCGTAAGTTAGTAGTCTGCTTTATATAACTAGGTTAGGTTTCCGGAAAACTCGTACAGAGTTTTCTTTTCGCAGAGAGTACAACTCGTACTCTCAGCGTTTTTGTATCCTTAGTTCTCTCGCTCTCAGTCCCCTGCGCCTTGTGTTTGTCTTTCAAGATGACATTTTCCAAGCTTTGACCGCCCACAATCTAAAGTAAGCCGGACTTCTGCCTTAGCGCCACCTGTGACGCGCGCGCCCCCGCAAACACTTTTTGTTTGTCTGCCAAGGCGACATTTTCCAAGTTTTAACCGCCAACAATCCAAAGTAAGCTGGATTTATGTCTTAGCGCTAGCTGTGACGTGCTGGGACTCTGGCTAAGTGTGATACCGTAAAGACGCTCGGTTATGGGATTCCAAGCCTGTAAGATTCCCCGAGCGGATCAACTCTTTAATACTACCCTGTACCCGCATTACCCGCAGTCCTATAGCAACTTGAGATGACTAGAAGGTCAATATGCTACGGGCACCATTAGCTATTTGACGCGCTTGTGCTACGTGTAACATTAGCGGGATCGCGGGCCGGACGATGTATCAAAACTCAGATAACCCGTTCGTTGGACTCGAGCAAAGCGCAAGAATGACGTAGCTTTTAGACGGTTGTGTGGCCGGCGATAACACGAAGACATAACCTGGCTGGCGGCTGTGCGTCGGGCGCCGCCGGGGGCGGCGCTGCTGGGTCGACGACATCTGCCCTCGGGCGTCATCTCCGGTTGCGGTGCATAACCGGACCTGGCGCCGGGGGCGGCGCCGGCCCGGCCACAGTGTGAACGGCGCCGCCGCCACCCGCCCGTGACGGCAGCGTTCTAGGCCTACTAACGAGCGAATACATCCCTAAAACACTGGGCTTGTGTTTGGAGCTCCGGCATCCTGTAGAAGGTGAGATGTGGTGACATAAGGAGTGTCTGTTCTGGAAGAGTGGGAACTGAAAGGGAATCAGGCTCAGCAGCTGGCCCTGGAGTCGCCTCATTCCTTGTGCGATTCCAAGGAAGGCTGCACTGTTGGCGAACCATCCACTGCATTAGGCTGTGGACTGATAGGATACAGCTGACGAACTTTGGTGGATAGATCGCCAGCGTCTGCGATTACAGTAGCGGAGCGATTTGCCTGACAGTTTTCTATGGACGATAACTTTCATGTCAGACCGAGCTGCCATAAACTAGATCTGCTTTCCACTATGGTTTATTCCATTTTGCTGCCACGTCTTCTGATGTGCGCTCTGAAAGTTCCGTTATGTACTTCTGAAGGGACTGTTACACAAAATGTTTGCGTATGGTACTCTCCGTGTGCTCCTCTGCGAAATCTGACATTCTGAGTGGGAAAGTTTTGCGCCGATTTCACTGGGCCGTGGGCGCCAAGCTTTCGCAAACTTTGCGTTCAGGTATGCCTTTGATGTTAAAGAAATCGTAGACGAGCTCTAATTGCATTTGCAAACGAGCAAACCGTCCTAGCACCTTGCATTTTGTTCATTAACTGTGTTCTCCGAAATCGTTTAAGCTGCCACGAACTTCCAGCTCAGTGACCTTTGAGACAGCGGTCTGGATGAAGCAACGTAATTCAGTGCGGACATTTACGTCTTTCGGCTACGAAGGCTCGACCACATTTAACAAATGAAGCAAGCCATTTAGTATCTGACGCTACATTGCTTCGAGGCATCCTAGGGTCTTCGAAATCATTATGACGCGGGCTCAGCTTCGCATACATCTTGTAAAATAATGCGTTAAGCAAATTTACGATGTATTTTACGCGCTGCAGATACTCTAGACTACGTTTATAGAGAAAAGATTCACCGGGCAACTTCGTTTCTCACTGTATGGCGACCTTGCCGCATCATGGTCGTTTCCGTGAACCAAATCGGTCATCACCTGCGTGAGTCACTTCGCACGGACGATGCTTGATGTGACGCAGAGCACATCATCACACACTGCAGTGAACACACCACCACACTGCGAAGATGCCGACCGCCGCGCAGCATTGTCACTTGTCAGAAGGTTCGTACCAGGGACGGACAACTGAACCAGCTTGTGAAGCCAGCTGGCGACAAGGTGCGCTCTTATGCGGGGTGACTGAAGGACAGGTGCTCGCACGTGGCCATGCTCCGTCGCTTCTAGACGTTTTCAATGAAGATCCTTGCTCCTCTCTCCGCCGTCGCGAAAGGCATCAAGCTGAAGATCTGCCCAGTGCTGGGCTCCAGGGCCAGAAATTCCTGAAAACAGGGCAATTGCATGGAAATTGCACCGTATGGCCTTCCGCCCGTGGCCAGGCGGGGCAGAGCACAGCAAAACGCATTCGCTTTGCGGAGCTGCCGGCTTTATTCAATAACCGGTCCTAGTTCACATCTGGAGCCCCAAGCACGATACAGCGCAGGCAGCGGCACAAGGTGTGGTGATCCAGTTGCTTGAAATGTGCGACCTGTACAGGCGATCTGAGGCGACGCAAACCACTTCACCGCAGTCTGCAGTGGAGATAACAGGGGTGCAGCCGGATACCATACCGCAAGGCTGCAGCCGGATTCCATACTGCAGGGGTGCAGCTGGATACCATACCGCAGGGGTGCAGCCGGATACCATACCGCACGGGTGCAGCTGGACACCATATGGCAGGGATGCAGCCGCATACCACATTGCAGGGGTGCAGCCGGATACCATATCGTAGGGGTGCAGCCGGATACCATATCGCAGAGGTGCAGTCCGCCGAGCGACACCAACACACGTTAAACGTTCGTGCCGAGGCCAAGACTGGCTCCAGCCAGGAGGGGACAACACTATAGCAGGGCATACCTGATGCTATCACGAATGCAAAGTGGAAAAATGGGCGGGGATGGACGTCATGCGATGAACTCAGACTTTTTGGGTTTCATCCGAGGTAGTTTCCATATGAGATTAGAGTCAATGATGAAATGGGTGTTGCTTCAGGGGGCACTGCGTACGCCCCCCCCCCCCTCCTCCCCCCAAAGCTACCGAAAATGGTCTGCAAGTTGGTATTTAAACTCATATTAGCGTCGAATCCAACATGCATGAGCGGTAACTAAAGCATAGCTGAACGCTGTTATCCACAAACACGACAAACCATTACGTTTCGTTGTTCTTGTCAGTGCCATGCCTGAAAAGCAGGATAAATGTAGGACAGTTTACCTTAGACTTATAACCAGAGGTATCTTCCTGCAGACAACCGTTCGGCCTGCAGTAAAAGACCCGGATGGACCTACAGTGTTGCAACACCAACATCCATACCACTTTGGGATGTCTGCTGATTCTTACGCGAATGGTTTTGCCTGATCCCGTGCAGAGTCAGAGTCAACTCCAGAATCTGTCAAGCCTCAGACAATTTATGTATAACGCTTTTTTCATGAAACTAATAAAAAAGTAATGCAAAAGCATGTTCAATAAGCACGTGGGGTCAAAAGCTTTGTGCGAGAACAAAAAATTAATTGTGCTTCGTTTACCCCCACATTTGAAATATACTTCCATCAAACTTTTGCTTGCTCCTAAACGTCGAGAGACTTTCCGCGTGAAAACTCGGGCGTCTGAAAATGCGGGTATAATGTTGCATAATGATGCAGGCTTGAAAGGGAACGGACATAAAAAAAATACCGCGTGCTCTTGGACTGTCTCTTGTAAATCAGCAGACCGGACTCGGAACAAAAGCGGACACCTGCATGCATCACGGCTCTAACCCGGAGAAAATGGCAAAACAAACAGAACGCAGCATTGGCTTGGCAGTCGCGCAACTCTCCCGGGTCCGACTGACATATCATGATGTCAGCACTCCCTTGATTGTTTGCATACTCGCGTCAAGAGGAACAGCACTCGTCGGAACGGCGGCGGCGGGCACTCATGTTTGTGTCAAGAGGAGCAGCACTCGTCAGGACGGCGGCGGCGGGCACTCATGCTTGTGCCAAGAGGGACGGCACTCGTCTGGGCGGTGGTAGTGGGCACTCATGCTTATGTCAAGAGGAGCAGCACTCGTAAAGACGGCGGCGGCGGCGGGCACTCATGCTTGAGTCAAGAGGGACGGCACTCGTCCGGACGGTGGAAGTGGGCACTCATGCTTGTGTCAAGAGAAGCAGCACTCGTAAAGACAGCGGCGGTGGGCACTCATGCTTGTGTCAAGAGGGACGGCACTCGTCCGGACGGTGGTAGCGAGCGCTCATGCTTGTGTCAAGAGGAGCAGCACTCGTCAGGACGGCGGCGGCGGGCACTCATGCTTGTGTCAAGAGGAGCAGCACTCGTAAAGACAGCGGCGGTGGGCACTCATGCTTGTGTCAAGAGGGACGGCACTCGTCCGGACGGTGGTAGCGGGCACTCATGCTTGTGTCAAGAGGAGCAGCACTCGTCAGGACGGCGGCGGCGGGCACTCATGCTTGTGTCAAGAGGAGCAGCACTCGTCTGGACGGTGGTAGCGGGCACTCATGTTTGTGTCAAGAGGAGCAGCACTCGTCAGGACGGTGGCGGCGGGCACTCATGCTTGTGTCAAGAGGAGCAGCACTCGTCAGGACGGCGGTAGCGGGCACTCATATTTGTGTCAAGAGGGACGGCACTCGTCCGGACGGTGGTAGCGGGCACCCGTGCTTGTGTCAAGAGGAGCAGCACTCGTCCGGAGAACGGTAGCGGACACTCCTCCCTGCGGTTACACTCTCGGCATTGCACCAGCCCGCAACAGCCACGACACCACCCGCAGTCGTGGGCCTACAGACCGCTGCACACGACCGAGGGGCGCTTCTTGCACGCGACGTGGGCAGCAATAACGGCGCGGTATCCGTGCAGCCTTACGCTTCAGTCAGCACTGAGTCGTGCTCACAAAACCAATTCAAACGTGCGTTGCTGAGCTTGCGAACAAGGGCATGCTTATATGTATCCCAGTGCGCTACCGCTTTAATATCGGCTCATTTTACAAGCTCGCAAGGCATTCATTATGTGGCTGCTGGGTTCCCGTGAGTCAGTGCTGGGGAAAACCGGAAGCGTAGCCGCCAAACTGCTCGGAGTCATCGCGGACGCATTGATTTCCACAGCTCCCAATAATTGCTCAGGATTTATACTGAGAAGTCCTCTGCTGACGAGAGCAGGACGCATGTTCTGTAATGTGAGACTGTTGAAGCCTTGTCTCATCTTTTTATCTTCATACGTTGCACTCAGTTTCTTTCGGTTAATTCCGTTCCTAATCAAAATAGCTCTGTTGACCTGATATGTAATATCATTGTGGCCTGCTATCGTCGTTTTTGACATTGTACGGATTTTATGCGCTTACATTTATCAGATTGCTAAGGCTTTGGTGGCATGAGACGTGAACAATGGCATCTAACGGAAATCCGTTGTTCTGTGCAACCTGGCAACAAAATTTGAATACTTTGCTTCATCACTGCCAATGCTCTCTAAACATCAGAAGGAATCTGGTCTGCCAAAAAGCTTATGTTTATTTATTTCCCAGAACGACACAAAAACGTGATTTGAGAAAAAGGTGCAAAGCAGTAACAAATGCAGGACGACTGAAATGTCGCGGCTTTTCTGCTTTTTCTTAAGTTGATGTAACCGTAACTTTATAGTTCTAAGGTGCTGTCACCAATCAAATAACATTAAGTTGCTTCCATTAGGAAACAGGCTAATGTCTGAGCTTCATAGAAAAATAGCAGTTGCGAAGTAGTAGTAAAAAGAAGTAAATAGTAAGTAGTAGTAGTAGTAGTAGAAGTAGTAAGTAGTAAGTAGGAAAGTAGTAGTAGTAAGTAGTAAAAAAGTAGCGACATGCTATGGATAGCATGGAATGACGCAGTTTTCGTTGCATTTAGCCAGGCAGGGCTTAGGTGGGCTTCAGTGAGCCCATCCCCGTCCAAGTTTATGTGCGATTACAC